GGCACCCTCATTATATCTTAGGCATTCTTAAACCCTAATTAAGACATAATACATGAGGATAAGACTTAGAAATACCATAAGAACGATAAGTTAAGTACTATCCGAGTGTGTGTTTCAATGTGTGTGCCTATTATGTTTGTGTAGGTCATGCGCGCAAGTTATCTGTTTGTTTGCTTTGTTTGTCTGCTTTGGAGCATCTGTGAGTAATAACTTAGTAAAGTATGTTCATTTTACTTATTTTCTGTATAATGAAATAAGATCTGTTTTCTGAAACATTATGTTTTGTAACAATGAATGATTATCTAACTTTGACAGTATTCATGGCATTCCTTAGTATTGTGTGATATCTGTTAGCTGTTGCTCGGTATCGAGGTTCCATTATGGAACTAAAATATCTCTGCATTATGTTTGCCGTACGGGGCCTCCATCATGGAGCTCAGCATGTCTATTATCTGTTACTTCGGATCTAGAGGTTCCTTCAAGGAACTGGTTATACATAACCACCATCTGTTCTGCAATCTGTTTTGTTCTGTTAGGTTAAGGATGTACCACGTATGATTAAGCATAAACTCTGATTCTGTAAATGATTTGAACAAGAATATGAATCTGAATTTGAATTTAATCTTTGAATCTGATGCGAGATATCATTGAATTAAACCCTTTATCTGTTATTATTCACTAGACTCGCGCTCATTTTTATTACTTATGTATGTAGGTGATCAGACGGATGGCCAGGCTCAATGATGATCACCTGTAGCTCTCATTTTGTCAGCTAACTTTGTGGCTTACGAGGAGTTCTAAAAGTTATATGGTCATGCTTTGTGAACGTATAAGACTTGTTTTCTTTTTTAGATTATGAAAAAGTTTTCTGTTTATCTGCATATTAGGCTAAGTCCCCTTTTGGTTTATATCTGTATGAATGTGACGTAAGACTACTGTATTTATGACTCATGTGCTGTATAAAAGTTTTGAAATTTTCTCTCCTATGTATTCTATATAGCTCAAGAGGACTAGTATGTTATGTATATTTGCTTCCGCTAACTCTTTAATATGTAATAGTTTGTTCAGAGGCCTTGGTGATCCATGATTACTGCCCCAGTTATTACGCTAAACCTATAGGGATGGGTTTGGGTTGTGACATGCAATATACACATAGTAAAGTTGTATCATTTATAAAATGCAAATAATATTTGACTTCCATTGATTTGATATTTTCCCTACAGAAAAATACCTTTACGAGTAACGTCCAAACCAAAAAACTCATAGAAAACTTAATTAGGGTAACATCACAACTAATATAAAAAGATTACCTTGAACAAATATATGCTTTAGTCACATTTAGTGAATTATTCTTAACTTCATTCTTGGAGTGCCTCCAACTGGATACTACTGGTTGGATGGCACTAACAATTTTTTATATTGTAAATATGTAGAGTGTAACTCATCTCTTCATTGTAGCTCTCCATCAGTATATGTGAGTGGATTTTATGGTCTTAGAAGATTATTCTAAATTTCCAAGGATTTATTAAAAAAAATAATATCCAAGCCAACCAATGTCATAGAAACATGAAAAATCCTATGGCGTACACCTTATCATAAAAATATATGATTTTATTACAAAATTTCATAATATCAATCACAAAATACGTAAAATCGTCATAAATTTTATGATAAAGTTATCCATATTGTGATGAGGTGCACCATAGCTTTTTCCTCGAAACATTTCAAACATAAAGTTATAGAAAGAAAATAAAAGAGAAAAGAAGTGTTAGAATGGTTGGAAATTAGCAATAGAACATGTGGCCTAAGCATATGTAGAGGTGATAAATAGATAAAAGACTAGATAAATTGATCAAGGTGGTGGACTTGACCTACAAGAGACTCCCGTGACATCTAACTTTGATACTTCGGGATGATATTTAGATTGTATTAATTAAATTTGAATGACTTAGAGAGGCGGTGCGAAACAAGTCTCTAACAAAAAGAATCAATAAAAGTATAAATTATTATTTTTTATTTCTTCTCGAATCTACCTACAAATTTTAAATTTAAAAATAATTTTTAAAAGGGAGTGTTTCCTGAGAAGAGGTCAACATATATCAATTCCACTTTCTGGTCAAAAAAAAAATCCAATGATAGCATTATACAATAACTAATAACCTACCAAAAAAAACTTTAAAAAATTAAATAATTAAATATTTTCCTACAATTCTTTTCATTGAAACCAAGACTGTCTTCGATATGCACCTTGAATTTGTAATTCTTACTTGCAGTCCAAGAAATTTAGAAATAAAATTGAATAAACAAAGTATTCTTACTTGTAGTCCAAGAAATTTAGAAATAACTTAGAGCATCTCCAACGGTGTACCAAATATTTCACCAAATCTGTGTAAAAAATGGGTCATTTCCTTAATTTGATACTTCGCGCTCCAACGGTTCAACATCAAATCCGTTTCATCAAATTTGCGCTGGGCAACCGGTTGGTTGACCGGCCGGTCGACCGGCCGGTCAACCGGTAATGGCAAAAAAATATTTTTTTTTTTTTTTTTTACCCGTTTGAACCTTTTTTTTTTGGAACTTTTTGAACTTTTGGTGGTCGACCGGGTGGTCAACCGGCCGGTTGACCGGGTGGTCGACCACCTAGGCAATTTTTTTTTTTTGGACTGGTTTGAACCTTTTTGTGAACGGTCTGAACTTTCTCCGGGGCGACCGGTTGGTTAACCGGTTGGTCAACCGGATGGTCGACCTGTTCGTCTCATCCCAACGGTTAGGAACAGTGATTTGCTGAAATGCTTCGCCTGCACTCAGTTTGGTACCATTTTTGCTGAATTCTGGATTTGATATCGATTTGGTGAAACCGTTGGAGCGTGAAAAAGTGGGTTTTTCATCAAAATTTAAATCTGATGCTGGGTTTGGTTCACCGTTGGAGATGGTCTTAGAGCATGTTAGAGAAGTGATTTTTTTAGTATTTTTTCTTTAAATATGAGGTAAAAAAAAAAGTTTGAGAAGAATTATTTATTTATTTATTTATATTTTTTTTAAGTAAAGAAGTGCATAAAATAAATTGAATGGGAAATAATTTTTGTTTTTTTTTTTTTGGTATAAGTTGAAAAGTTATTGACTTTTTAAGGTCTTTTTTGGGATGAATTAAAAAAGCCAATTTATTGGCTTATAAATTTATTTTAATTACATCGCCTCTTTGTTTTTCTGAATATCTTTTTTGTATTAAGTAAAAAATTTAACTTTTATGTGATCCCTAAAATAACCCTAACTTTTAAGTGAATTTTTTCTTCAGTAAAATTATATGTACACATGTTTTTATAATATTTTTCATTGTCTACTCCAAATGACAGTGGGCCTCAGATCTATTTACAGTTGTTTGGTAATATTTAGTGTGTTTGGTTTTAATTTTTTGAATTTAATTTTTTGAAAATTAAATTTTTTATTTTTCGTATTTTTTTGATTTTAGTAAATATTTTTAGAATTTTAAACAGTTTTTATTTTTATTTTTTTAGATGCACTTTATTTAGATGTATCTAAATAGTCAAATATTTGTGAAAAAATATTTAAAGAAATTAATAAATACGCAAAAATATGAAAAATGTACTAAATATTCATATTTTTTTTTGTATTTTTGGTATTTAGTGAATTTTTTAAAGATTTTTTCACAAATATTATACTTTTAAGTGTATTTATGTTAGATGTGTCTAAAAATTAAAAAAATTGCTGAAAATATTAAAAAATTTATTGAAAACAAAAAAATACAAAAAATAAAAAAATATAATTTTCTAAAAAGTATTTTTTGAAAACCAAAATTAAACCAGTTGATTATTATTATTTTTATAATAAAAAACAAGAGAAGAAAATATAAAACTACAAAATAATTACATTTTCGTTTTTAAAATTAAAATATAATCTTTTTTGCTAAAGACAACAAAAATATGAAAGTAAAAATAAAGACACTATTTGGTTCCATTCTGGAATCATGATTCCAACTCTCTGTTTGATTATAATTTTTAAAATATGATTCCAAATCACATTTTAAAACAAATTTGAAAATATGTTTGGTAACTAGAGAGTTTTTGAATTTTTGGGTTTATTTGGTTGTCCACGCGGACATTCTCTCGAACATCTTGCCGATTGACCAGAATAGTTTTTTTTTTCTTACAATTGCCACCTGTTATTTGAAAACAAAAATTATATTTATTTTTAATATTTTTAAAATATATAAATTATTTTTTAGATCAAAATGAAAAATTATTTGGCCATTTATTTAAAATTAACAAAAAAATTTAAATAAAAATTTATTTGTCAAAGTAATTTTTAAAAAATAAAAAACATTTTTTAAAAAATAATTAAAAAAATCCAATCAAATATACGATCAAGAGTAATTTTAAAGTACTAGTTGAATATTTTTTTAACAAAAAATAATATATATTTTTTGATATTTTAAATAAAAAATATTTTCAAAATATTTTGAGTTTTTTAAATAAAAAATTATTTTTTTTTCAATAATTATTTTTTTGAATTGAATTTTAAAAAGAGTTTGGTTATAAGTTTTGAATAAAATTTTTAATAGAATTTTGAGATATGTGTTTGGATATGAGTTATAAGTTTTTGAATTAAGTTGTGAATTTTTTTTTTCAAAACTAATAATCAAACAACTTTTCTTATTTCAAAACTCATTTCAAAAATTCAAAACTCAATTCAAAATTTAATTCAAAATTCTTTTCAAATAAATTTTTCCTTTTAAAATCATGATTCAACAATTTACAAACTCAAAATATAATTCTATTATCAAATTATGATTCTAAAATTAAACCAAACGCTTCCAATTTTTTTTTTTTTTTCAAAAACTTATCCAATTAGAGTGCATATTTTTTTTTTATTTTTTTGGGTGAAATGATTGATAAAATAATATATTTAAAAATAAGAAATATATGTATGGTTGGGTCAAGCTGGAGCGTTAAAGCGGTCAAATCCAACCCAATCCAATTTCTCTTGGTTAGTCGGCCCACTCGTATTCCTTGGGTGGCATTTTACTAAGAAAATTAGATATTTTCCGGGAAAATGAGGTATTAATGGTCCGAAAGAATCCGCCATCTTAGAATCTGCTCATCCCCTGACTGACGCTACAGAACAGAATCTTCAACATTTCATAGCTTAACTTTTGCTTAGCTTAACACCTAGGCTTTATTAGGGTTGCATCATCTTCTCATCTCACTCTTCACATAAACTCTAGGGTTGTTGGTTTTTGAGAGCTGAGAGAGACACAGAAATGGTGGGGAAGGACGTGAACATCACCAGCGAGAATCCTCTGGACCTGTTTCTGAAGATCGGTTTGGACGAGCGAACAGCCAAGAACACCGTCGCTAACAAGAAGGTCACCGCAAATCTCATCGCCGTCATTCACGAGGTATACTTTTCGAATCTTCTTCACTTGACCTCGCATTTTCCCCCTTGTTTGGCTGCCCAGAAAATTGAGGAAAATTAAATTATAATTCAAGTGCCCCGAATATGAACTTATGATTTCCCGGTACCAAATCGTGAAAAGTTTGACAATTTAGGGTTGTGTATTTCGGATTTAGTTCATTTTTAGATAATTTGGTGGTAGAAAAACGTCATTTATTTTCTTCCTAGTTATGATTTTTCTTGTTTTGAGTAATTTCTTATAATTCTCCAACTTACATCATATTTTCACGATTGCTTTTTGTTTCAATATGCGTATCTGTAATGGTTGTATGTTTTTATATGTTTTTCTTTTCAGGCAGCTGTAACTGATGGGTGCGATCGGGCCATTGGGAATCTCCTTTACACAGTAAGCTAATATATGAACATGTTCATCTTGTCTGAATTTGATTTTGATACAAATTTATGCTAAAAGGAAATATTTATTTGAGCTTTCGCAACAGGGGAAACAATTTTTGTACAAGGCTCCCTTTCCCTTTTAGTAGATACTGATACATTATCAGGATTCCTGTTTTTGACCAAAAAATGATACATTTTCATGAAGCCTAGGAAAAATGCTATCATGCATATGTTAAATTTTTTGTTGAGTTTGTTTGGTGAGAGCAATAGACTCAGAAACAAGAAAAGTTGGTGAAACTTGTCATGCTAGTCTGTGATGCTAGTCCATTTTATGATGACAGGTTGCTACGAAGTTCCCAGCAAATGCTCTTGTGCATCGCCCAACACTTCTGCAATATATTGTCTCATTAAAGGTATATAACAGAATCTCTCAATTCCTGATTTACTGATACAGCCTGTAGCTATTATAGATATTTAGCATTTAGTGCTTCAATGGATTAATAAGCATGACTAATTTAGCAAACTTTTTATTTTTATTTTATTTTTAATTAGTTACATAGTTTCTTTAAATTTGAACTGCATAGTTTGAAAGCATTTTGGTGTAATTGAATTTATATATGGTTCTGCTCTTACAGATTAAAACTCCTGCCCAGCTAGAAGCTGCCTTTTCGTTTTTTGCAACTACTGGTTCAGAGAATTTTAAGATCAACGAGTTAGAAGAGGCTTGTGGTGTTGGTATGATAGAGCAATTCATTATTACTCTAGATCTAAGGATGATATATTACTACTTTAATTCTCTGTTATCAGAATCTTACGATTTGCGATTCGATTCACTATTCGATTCGCAATTTTTGCAAAATCGATACGAATCTAAGGGTGAATCTATTTTGGAAGTGAATCTCTAGTGAATCGCACGATTCACAATTGATTCACGATTCGATTCACTTGTTATGATTCGTGTAATTTTTAAAATTATTGTGTCCGATATATTTTCGACTCTATTTTTCCTCCATCTTTTTAGTAAAAATGACATAATACAACTTCTAATAGCGTTTAATACCAAAATAACCAGCATATATACATGATTTTTTGTTATTTTAGTGATCCTGAAGTTTTTAATAAGATCCAATTAGATTTAATCAGACCCAACATATTTTTAACCTTTCTTCTCATTTTTTTTTTCCTTTAAAAAATCGTAATAAATCTTCTAAAGATGTTTAAGATTAAAGTTACAGTATGAATTATTTATTGCTATTTTATTAAATTAAATATTATATGTATGAGGTCAGTTATACTTTTTAAAATATTTTAGGCTTTAAAAAAAAAAAATTCTAAATGATTCTTTCTTTATTTGCTCACTGTTATTTAGAAAAGTATGTATGCTTATTGTCCAAATATCAATATCGTTATTAATTATTGTTACTTTAGAAATTGATAGTTTGTCTATCTGGTTATTATTTTTATTAAGAATGGTTGATAAGAAATATCTAAAAAAGAAAAAAAAAGGTAAGATAGTGATCTTACATAGGAACGTTTGTTAACTTTTTACTTATTAAACTACTTGATTATCATTCAAAATACCATTTTTATTGATTTAAGTCTAAATATTTTATATTCATAAGATATATTTAACATCTAAATGTGTAAATATATGTTTTTAAATAATTTAGAAGAAGTGACCGAATCTTTACGATTCACAATTCGATTCGATTCGCGATTCGGTACGAGACCATTTCGATTCACGATACGAATTCCGATTTGACAACTATGCTTTCATTTGCTCTATGGTTCTATTGTAGATGTATTAAGTCGCTGCATTTTGCCACACTTGACTTTTTGACTCCTCTTTCTGTTCCATGAACTGCTTTCTAGGTATGTTTGTAGAACGCAGATTTTATTAGATCTCAACCTGCTTATAGCTTTATAATACCATGCTTCAGTTGGCTGAGCCAGATAATTTTATGCTGTTTAAGCAATTAGCACAAGCCATGGTCCATGACATATTGCACTATTGGTGATATCTGGGTTTTATAGTGTTTGATATGCCATTTATTTCCAGTCCTCCCTGGTACCTGCATAGACCAACCTACACCTCTGGTTAAAGTTTTGAGGAGCAATCTGCTAATACTTATCCCAGAGATTGTCCAAGGTGACAGTTCAAATGGGAGTTTTGAACGTAACATCCACTAGATGTGGTTTAGAAAATGGAAATTATCATCTGCTTATTTTTTTGAATGTATGTCAACTTGGGTTAATTTGTTTGTCTTACATAATATTATGTTGTATGGCATTGTGACAATCCCATGATTCCATTCTAGTGTGGAGTTTTTCTAAATCTTCTCGTTCCTTCTTGTAAAATTCTGGAAATTGAACTCTTCATTTGCAAACAGGTGTTGAGGTCTCTGAGGATGATATCAAATGTACAGTAACTGAGATCATCGAAGAGCACAAGAGTGTAATTCTGGAGCTGCGCTATAGAACAAATGGTTGGTCTTTATTCTCTCCAATTCTTATGAAGTTGTTGTCCTTAATTATATTTATTTTCTATGTTATATTATGATAATCCCAACAATAGCTTGCTTGAGGATATCTATTCTTTTGTCATGTAGATTTTGGTATTAGAATTCCTGATTTGGATACTTTGTTTTGGTAGCATTCCTTTGGTAGAGTGCATTTCAGGATTTGTTCCATCATACTCACTTTTGGATTATTGTGTATCACTTTAAAATTTCTAAATAAAATATGCACCAAACTGAGATAGAGCAAGTGCTACGCTACCCATTGCCTCTGATCATGATAGTTTATCTCACTTTGTTATGAGAATATTATCTTCAGTTCTTTGGTTTGGAAATGAAAAACTTATGTTATCTAACTGGGAATGAACCTTGGACCACCTCCCTTGCATGACTGTAGATACCAATCAGGCTAACGGCTTGTGCTATATGATAAAATTATCTTGAGACTTGAGAGACTTTGATGGAGATTGTGCAGGACTCAGGAGACAACAACCAATTGTTTAGTTTATTTAGGAGTTTTTAATTAGGATTTTAAAGTAGTCTTTTTACTTTGGGATTTATTTTCTTTATTTTATTTATTTCCTTTGTTGGGACAACCTGACATATCTATTTTTTTGGGGGACAGACCTATATATATTGTTCTTTAGGACAAGCTTGCATATATAAGGTCTTTGGTGTATTGAATTATTAGAGTTTGTTTGGTATAATTTAGAAAATTATGAGTTTTCTTTGCTTACCTCTCTGTTGGAAGATTCTCTCTCCTATGCTTCTGCTTCTCCCTCTATTCTTCCTCCTCTTTTTTCTACCTCCGCTTATTTCTCTCCTCTCCTCTGTTATCTCAGTTCATGAATTCGTGATCTCTCTCTCTCTCTCTGTCTCTGTCTCTCCCTTTTGCACCTGTCTCACTGTGCTGCATCATACTAGCTAAAAAAAAAGGTTGAGTGTCTTGATTGTATCCCACTTTAATAACTTCTATTAGAAATGACAGGCAAGCAATAATTGATTGTATCCCACTTTAATAACTTCTATTAAGCATACATTTTGATTTTATAGCTTGCCTGTCATTTCTAAATAGGTTATTTGTGTTCTAAATTGTTTATTGAACTTGAAACTAAATTTGTACTTGAGGTGCTTCATACCAGACAACTGGGAATCAGGGTGTAAGCTATGAGCCTCACACTTGAGGTTGTTGGTTCAGAAGGCTTCTCAACTGTCTTGTTTTTTGATAACTTGATATCCTGCCCAATGGACTGAATAACCCAGAGGACCAATACCTTGTAACAGAATTGTATAAATTTGTGTTTAGTCTGTGCAGTAACCAGTGTTACCCAAAAATGCTATTACCTGACAATATATGTTTTGGAATACACACCCTTCAAACCATGGTACACTTCCATTATAAAATGATGAATTTAGCATTCCAAAGCAATTCTCAAATTTCTTTCGTATGAATTTTCTTGAAAGTTCTCCATAGGAGAGATAAAATCTAGAGAGTGCAGTCTTGGTCAGGAAAATGTTAAAAAATTGGAATAATGCTCTTAGAATTGTGTTTTTATATGATTAATTGAAAGAATAATAAACCTAGAATTGCGTTTCTATATTTTTTTATTTAAAGAACACTAAATTATATTTTATTGGATGTCTAATTATTAAAATAAAATTGATCTTACATTTAGAAGTACCTTAAAATAAAGTTCTAAAGTGTGATCTATACAAGCCTTCCCTTATAGTACTACATTTTACATGTGGCATACCATGTTTTCTGTTCACGAAATGTTCCACATGTTCAAGTAACATTGGCAGTGAATTTGGGCTTCATTTCCAGCTAAGGTGTAGATTCATGTTTAATATGATATGGGAAGTTTAATTCCAACTTGACTATCGGGTTCTGCAAGGAGAGAAGAAGAGGGGGAAGTTTAATTCAAATTCACATGCAGATGAATCTGAACTTGAATCTGAACAAATCATATATATACATATTTTCTTGATGCCTGCAATCCAACAGTTACACTTAATTTTCTCTATTTTAATTAACACATTTGATTGTGATATTCTTAGTTGGTGAATTATTTGGTCATGTACGAAAGAGGCAGCCTTGGGCTGATCCGAAGATTGTCAAGGTAAAATACTTTGCATATATATATATAGTAGTATATATATTTGATACGAAATGCTTTCAACATATGATATAATTTCAGAGGCTTATTGAGGTATTTCAATAATCTTTTTAGTTACACTTCTTTGTTATCTTTTGGAACAGCAACTCGTAGATGCAAACTTATATGCATTACTTGGGGAAAGAACTGCAGCAGATGATGAAAAGCCTATTAAAAAGAAGAAGGAGAAGCCTGTTAAGGTTGAGGTGGGCACAGCTGCATGCCTCTCTGTTGTACACATATATTACTTATCAGTTGATTTAAAGTTTTCTCATGTCTTTTGATCTATTTTCATATATCTAGGAATGCACTACTGCTGTAGATACTCCGCCAAAACCATCTGAAGAAGAACTCAACCCCTATTTAATATTCCCTTCACCAGAGGAAAACTATAAGGTACCCTACTGTTTGATCTTCATATCAGCTTGTTTTAACTCTATTTGTTTGTTAACTTACATTTACATCCGTCTACTTTTATTACTCACCAAAAAAAAGGATCCTTCTACTTTTTACCTTTTTCAAAGACACCCTAGTTTTACTATGCATGAATATTTGGAAACTTAATGGTAAAAGCTATATAGTGGCAGCAGAGATATTGCAATGAAGTGTTTTGATTTGTGCCATGATTTGTTGTGTCTAGTTTCTGAACTTCTCATCTGGTAAAAGCATGCAAAATCTTATTGGTATTGTGTTGACTTCTTACCTTATCTTTGAGTTGGAAACTACGCTTGTCAATGCCTTACAGAAGGGTGGGCTTTCAGTCAATGGCTAGCCATTGCTTTATTATTCTCAATTTCTCACTATCATAGGATTTTGTTAACATGTATAACCATCTCGTGGGTCCTCAGGTACATACTGAAATATTTTTCAGTGACCGCCCTGTGCTGAGACCTTGCAATACGAGGGAAATGCTCGAAAAACATCTGAAGGCAACAGGGGGGAAAGTATTTACACGCTTTCCGCCAGAACCAAATGGGTATCTACATATTGGTCATGCCAAGGTAACTCATATTTTCTAGTTAAAGAGTTTTTTATTTTTCAAATTTTCTTGAGTTATGGTCCCTCTTAATCTGATAGCCTATTGTACAGGCTATGTTTATTAATTTTGGTTTGGCAAAAGAAAGAGGTGGATGTTGCTATCTAAGGTGAGGATGCATTGTTAGCTTTTGGATTTATTTGATGGCTATAATACTGTTGGTGGCAAACTTTTTGGAACTTGTAGTATTGAGCGTTTCTGATACAACTTGTATGTTGTATTATTTTATATGGACTAGACTTCTAATAAAAACAGGGAAACCACTAGAGTGTAGAATTTTGCACCCGTGGCCTGGAACACTTTCTATGAAAATTTGTGTGCATGTGCTTGTGCATATAGCATTTTTTTTATATACTTATTTACAATGTATCACTACACAATGAAGTACAATGAATTGGCAATTATAGCATAAATTATAATTACATGTGAACTTCCAAAGTGGGAGATAGACCTCAAACAAATACAAAGGGAATAAGACCCACAGTGTGGTGTGTTCCTATTGAGGTGCAATAGCTCTAGCTAGACAGAGCAATTTGTTCTTTTTGTTGTCTGTAGAGTCACCTTGCATGTATTAAGAACTCTTTTATGTCATCATACATATGTGATATGTCCCATCTCGATGACATCTGTTCTATTACATCTTCCTTAGTCATGAACTTAGAGAGAGAGAGAGTATTTTATGAGTTAGGTGAGAATGTGGTATGATCTGAGTGTGTTGACTGAAATGCTAAACATCGAACACCAAAAAGAATTTGACTGGTTATAGTTCTCAATTTTTTTCAAAGATATCTATGTAATTGTCTAGATATTTTAGAATATATTTTATTGATAAAAGCGTGGTGATAAGGAAAGAATAGTGTCTCCCTCCACAAGGACCTTTGATTTAGTTGGCAAAAATATTTATTGAATTTTTTGAAACCTTCAAAATTCAAGATTATTATTCTAGTCTCATCATATGGAGTTCAAATGTTGACTCAGAACCTAAGAAATATGGATATTTCTGAGGAGTCCTGTTACCTCAATGTCTGATCCTGCAATGGACATGACACTCCTAAAAGAACTGAAAAAAGAAAATATTCTGATATGGCCAAAACACAAGTCAAGCATGCAAAAGAAGTTACTAAATATAGAAAAGTACATGTGGTTTTAAGCTTTGATGCAGTGAGGAATTATTAATGATATTAATTAATTACGGGTAAATTGCATGGACCTCTCTTGGCAATTGGTAGAAATACATTTGGCCCCATTACTATGGGATAATTAGAGCGACCGCCTCTCAAACAGAACAGCGTTAACTCCCTTAATAGGAGTAATTTTACTAAAATACCATCAACACCCCCAATCTATGGTCCCCATCTTCAGAATCCCCAAATGTCACTATGCCCAGTTAGTTTGTGGGAGGTCAGTGGAATGTGGGTTGGAAGCTTCTATTTTGATCGAACACATTTAATTGATTTTGGAAGATTGGGGTTTGGCTTTATTATAATATTGAAATGAGGGTGTTCTGTCCTTTTGTTTTCTTGGGTGATTTTCCATATAACACTCATTGTGGGTTTTTTTTCAGAAAAAATTCCAAAAAACAGTTTTTGAAAACAAGTTGCCACACAAATTTTCTGTTTTTTCCAAAAAAATTAAATATGGAAAATAAAAATTGGAAACATGGAAACACAACAAACAGACCTTTATTTTTCATTGAGAAATGGATTAGCATGTCAAGAGATTGGCATGTTCAATGAAACTTAGTCCCTATGTATAATGAATTTGAAAAAGTATACTTGTTTGGCTAGCTCTGAACAACTGACGTGTTGTATCTTGGATTATGAGTGGGAGCTCATTGGTGTCAGTCATTAAACAAAAAACAGACTGTTTCTGTTTGTTGGAATATTACTTGCAAATGATCATGAGAATTGATTACTTTTGCTGAAAAGTTAAAAAAATTTATTGAATCCATTAAATTTAAAACAATTTTGTCTTTAGACTGCTTATAATCAACTTTGGAAAGGATAAAGAACTATAGAATGACTGTTGTTTTCTGATTTTAGTGATTATTTTTTGCAATGTTAGGTATGATGATACAAACCCCGAAGCTGAAAAGAAAGAATATATTGATCATATAGAAGAGATTGTGCGGTGGATGGGCTGGGAACCTTTCAAGGTAATTTTTTTTCATCCACATCAATAACATTTGAGTAATACTACAAACCCAGACTGAACTATCCAGAATTATCATCTTGTGGTTCAAATTCATTCTACACATGGATCCCACACTATACAAATTTAATCCCAACCACATAATCTCTTTAGGGGTAAATTAGGGTTAGTTAAGGTGGGGTACATAGAATTGTTCGTAACATATTCTGTTTGCTGGCAACATTTAATATTTGTTAAATTTGCAGATCACTTATGCCAGTGATTATTTCCAAGACCTTTATGAATTGGCGGTGGAGCTAATACGAAGGGGTCATGCTTATGTTGATCATCAGGTTGCTAATTAACTTCATATCAATATTATTATGTCTGAAATTTTATTTCATACATTATTCTAACACTCTGAGCTTTGTCCTTCAGTGCTTTTAATCCTAATGCCTCCTTAACTGCTCCTCATATTTTTGAGCCAATAATTCATTTGACCTTATAGACTAAGAATGTCTGTAAAAGGATGAGTGATTTTTTCTGTGTATGTGTTTGTGTGTGCCTGGGCTAAGTTTGTTTACTATTCATTCATGGCGTTCAACACTAACAACAAGATTGACATCATGTACATGGGGAAATATACATGATTGACACTTGGATTTGATATCTAATACAGACACCTGAAGAAATAAAGGAGTACAGGGAAAAAAGGATGAACAGTCCTTGGAGGGATAGACCAATTGAAGAATCACTAAAACTCTTTGATGATATGAAACGGGGCATAATTGAAGAAGGCAAAGCAACACTGAGAATGAAGCAGGACATGCAAAGTGATAATTATAATATGCACGATCTCATTGCATATCGTATCAAGGCAAGTGTGCCACCATGAACATCTTTGATTACTTATGCTCAAGGAGTGTCTCATATCTCAGATGTTTGGATTTCTGTTGTCCAGTTCACTCCTCATCCACATGCAGGGGATGCGTGGTGTATCTATCCAAGTTATGATTATGAACATTGCACTGTGGATTCTATTGAGAATGTTACACATTCGGTATGTTGATTTCTTCTTTGAATCTTAGATTGGTAGTCCTTTGTTATTGTTCTCTTCTATCATGAATTCAAGTGGTTTGTTTGCTGGCATGTAAATTATATGGTTCATCTCATTCATGTATTACTTATATGTCTATATTTGCAAAGCATATGCCTGTAAGATAGGTTTGAAGAAATTTAAATCGCCGCCTATTGAATTTTATTTTATGTTACTGATTTTTTAGGCGTGGATATTTATGTTGGATTGGAATTTTTATATTAGAAGTGAGAATTGAAGATATTTTACTCAATAGGTCTTTTTCAACTTCTTCTGCACAGCATGTTAGAAATAAAATAACCTGTAAGTTCATGGTAATTTTGTATTACGAACATAGAAGATTCCTTCAAAGAAATATGAACATTTGAGGATTATCATGATAATAAAATCTGAAGTCGGGGTTGCTTTTATAAACATCTAAATTTTGTGTTTATGAACATTTTTCGCCAAACCATTCTGTCATCTGTGGCAACTGTAACCCTGGCATTCTTGTTTTGTGGTTGATGTGAATGTAGTTAGCAATTTGTTGAATGCTGCTTATCATTTTCTAAATCAGTTGTTGAGTAGTCAATATTCGTGTATTGTGTATAATGGATGGGATTAGAATTTTCTTTCAGTGTTCTTTTATAGTTATATTGGTATTTCTGAAATTGAATCAGAATAGTAAATTGGTCTACTGACTGGTTTTGGAGAACTCCCTCAATCAAAAGTTTGAAATAGCCTTTTATTTTGTGTTGAAAATAGGCAATAGTACATTTCTGTGTGCTTTGTTGAACTTACCTTTTCTGCATGTAAATTTCTTATAGATAGTCCCTTCTAATATGCATATTTCAGTGGACTTTTGTCTTTCTAATAGGTTGGTTAATGCTTGAAGCTCAAACTGTTTCCATCATAAAATCAGTGCTAATTTGACCATATATGACCATATATGAACCTTGTCAAGCTTGATTGTGTTTGCCATGACCATATATGAACCTTGCACTTTCCTCTGTGTAAACATGAGTCTCATTGTCCAATCTGTTAATACCCATTTCAAATTTGTAATTAGCAGCTTATACTCTGAAATTGATAATTTAATTACCCA